CAGTTCTACAGAACTACAGATATTTTGAATGTCAGAAATATATGAAAACACGGGATGATGTGCAGCTTTAAAGGCTTCTGGACATGTTTTTATAGGGATCTTTAATAATATCTGAAAAATGTGCAAGAGCAAAAACACATGGTGTAAGTGTGATTGCTTATTTTGAGTTGATTACCTTTTCCATGTGATTGCCTTTTTTTGACTGATTTGGCAATCCTAGTGTTGACAAATTCCAACTGACTTCACTGTTAATTTAGACTGCATGAGGACTGCAGTTTAGTTCTTTGAACATGACAGTACCTCTGAGAATCCCTGCACTTTCACATGCACGCAGCAGGTAAACACTCTTGTAAAATTTACAGGACATGTATGTAGCTGCTCCTTTGAAAATTTGGCTGTTAACAGGACTGAAGTCAGTGCTACTGCCTAACCAACGGGAAATATTTTTCTTTTTATAGAAGCAGCCAGTCCTTTTCTAATCAGGTGTATAGACTCATCCCAAAGAGGTATGCCAGTCTTAAAGAAAACATATGGAAATTTCATATAACTTTTTTGTGCTTCAAGTGACTGACCAGATAGCTTCTGCTTCAGGTACACGTGTTCGCTATCCACATAAGTTTGTATTTCTTTTTCTAGAACATACACTGCAGTTGGCACTGTGCCTCTGTAGTGTCTCTGTCCATCTACTGGGGGCATTAATGCCCATGATTTTAGATCATTTCTGATACCCAATAAGATATTTGCTGTGGAAATGAATTCAATCCTGTGCTTCTCATTTGCTTTCTTTTAACCTGCTATGGTACAAGTACTAGTGGCTCAAGACTGTTTACTGAGGTGACCTGGCAATGGGAAAGTCTCCTTTTAGGTAATGCATGGGACTTGCAAGAAGTCTTCAGCACTACGCAGGCCATCTCCATGCTAGAAAAAGGAGTATTGTTTTTTTTTGTCCCTGTTCACCTGAGAACTCAGTATCTGATGTAGGGCTAGCCCTGCAAATACTGATCTCATAAATCTCTTAATTTTCACTTCTGTCTGTGTAGCAAATAGATTTGCTCACATTTAATTTTGGTCAAATTGGCTCTTTGGTTACGTAGCCAGCTACCACCTTCTGACATGAATGTTTAAGCTAACTTGCTTTTTTGCATTTGTCCCAGACTGAGAACATGGGCACAGTCAGTTATTAAGTGCACAGCTGTTGGAATGTAACTCTTGGAGATGAAGTAAGTTGCTGTTGCATCTGAGTCCTTGGTAGGGGATTGTCACCATCTGTAAGCTGTCAAGAGTATTTGTCCAGGCCTAGATATTTTTGCTGATCATTTAAGGCACAGAGTCCAGGTGGATGGATGGACATATGCGGGTGAGCTAGCTGCAGCCTCTGGTCATGGGACTGGCTTTACAATGGTGTAGTTCAAGGTTACCATTGAAAAATCCGCATTGTCCCAAATACAGATTCGATAGGTAGTGGCGCTCAGCTTGCGGTGAGCTGTTATAGTCTAGCACATGAAAGGCCACAGAATAAAGTGCGACTTTATGGTCAGCTGAGGCGTGGTAACCAGCAGCATGCCTCATATGTCTGTGTCGTACTCTTCCATGTGCTGTTGAATTTCCTTCATGTCCTGTGCAAGGAGATAGATCTACCTGCCCACCATGTAGAACATCCCTACGAGCTGAAGGTCTCACAGGTGTTGCCTTCTCCTTACTCTGATATAAATACCAATTTCATATATAGAATTGCATATTGTTTTTTGCCCTCTGACCTATGACTTTTGCTGTGAACAGATGCCTCTGAAACAGAAGAAAAGTTCCTCTTGAGTAAGTTCAGATAGAAGGTGCAGAAGCCTTACATCTAGTATGTACATCTTTACTATATTTCATATGCTATTCTGTTATTTCCTGTATTGAGTCAGGAAAGGTAGAGATGGGCAGGAAGACATGCAGGACATATACCTGCCTATAATGGAAATAGACAGCAAAAAAGCGGTCTATCTCATGTACATCAAGTGTACATCATGTAGAGCACATAACTCAGTGAACCACAATGACTGTAAGATAAGCAACTGTTCTCTTTCCTTCCTGTTCTTTTATCCTTGGACATGAGCAGCCCAAAAACCTTAGCTCAAATCCTGAGTATGTCGTAAATAAAATGAATTTGGTGGGGCTAATCCTAGTTCTATAGATCTGTAAAACATTACCACAGTTTCACAGTTTGATGTAACTGAGCATTTCTGCTTAAGAAGAGGGTATCAATAGTAGGAGAAAGGGGCACATTTGAGGTTTAGAATAAAAGATTATTGGTAAAGCTGTCCGAGGAACATTTTTCATTCCCTACATACACTGTTGTTGGCTTAGGCTATATCCACTCGTTTGCCTCTTAACTCTTTCCTTGCAGGTCGCTTTCCTTTTCCTGTTTCACTTTTTTTCCCCTTAGCTTTCTATACATTAATTTAAGAGAATCAGCATAAATAACTGGGTAGCAGAGTCGATGAGACTTAAGTGCATTTCAGTTAAACAAATTTTAAACTTAAGTGCCTTGGCAAATAGGTTTGCCAAAAATGGGCCTAGTAAGAAGAAGATGGGGTAGCATTTGATGAGGAAAGACAGCAGCTTTGAGCATAATTTTTCATTGTTTGAAATAAAAGAACTTAATTGTAAGGCTGTTCATTCAGGTAATGGTGGCCTCCAGCCCTTCAGTGGGCTTTGTAGGCAGAGGAATTCAAAAGAAACCCCCTCAGCCCAGCTTTAAAGTTTTAGGAATGCTTTCACTGTGGGAAGAAAAATCCTTCAAGGTAAGGCCCCTGTTGGAGTAAAGCCTTTAGAGCTATCTACTGTATGTCTACTTAAATCTAAAAGAAAACTCTTCAGACCACCCACATCTTTCTTTGCTTCATTGTTGTTTCCAGTTTGCTTTTTCAGGGGGATTAGTGCTAGAGTAAACTCCATCGTCTCGCTGCCTTGAAAAAATTCAATTTTGTGTAAAGTGAAAATTAGACTCTTAAATCTGCAAAGCGAGCTGTTTATCTTACAAATTTATTCTTTTTTATTGGGCCACACATATTCTAGATAGAAAGATAAAAGGCAAATGGATAACAGGCCATCATTTAGAGTGACATATAGCAAAACATAACTAGTAGACTTATTTGGTATATTCCTCCAGAGTGGTTTGTTAGCTTTATCTATATATTTATCTATAATGTTCATATAGTATTTATTGAAAACTAAAATAAAATCCTGCAGTTTATCATCGTGCATTCTGTGTTTTGCACTTCAGAAATGCTTTTTACACTCAGAAATTCTTTTTTGCTCAAAGCAGTTTAGACATGATTATATACAACTTTTGAGGTGAAAAAAGTGGGATATCTAAACTCTTTGGGAACTTGGAATTGTAGCCACCTATATATATTTTCTTGGATTTTGAAAGACAAAATAATCTCTGCGTTACGTTACTTTACATACTTGTGAATAATTCAAAATGACAATTACCGGCCTTTTCACTTAAATATTGTGCTTTAACTCTACAGCCTGACTCAGAGCAATTAGAAAATATTAAGCAAGAATATGAAGTGAAAACAATCAGCTTTTGCTTTTTGCAAGTTAACTAGGGCTTGACTAGATATATGTCTAAAATAAGCATTTTTACGTATATTTTTAGGATTTTTGTCATTCTGTATCACCCCCTTCTTTCAAGTAAAATAGTTTAGAGTAATCATTTTATAGTGAACAGTGGAATGTCTGTTAGTATTACCTTTTCCAGAAATGTTGTATTTGGGTCCATGCTACTGTGTGAATAGTTTTTATTATAGCCAAATATTTAAGTCTTTCTTATGTCCCATCAGTCCCATTTAAAACGCGTTGCTGTGCAAACTGCACTCTGTTTCCTGACAGCTTTAGTTACGTATCAAATGGGCAGAGACAGAACATTTTTAGGCAGTAGTTTATGGTTGGAATAATCAAGGCTCTGCATGCAGATTTTAACTGTACGCTCCCCACCTCAACATAAAGCATATAGCCCAGGTTTTGCATACAGGTGTGTTAACATACCAATCTGTATTGCATCTCTGTGGTGTGCCAGGATCGTAAACACATTTCAGGATTTCAACATTTGCCATGATACTTTTTGATGAAAACATGACCCTGTAAATACAAGATGATAGCTGGGTCTTGTGCTTGGTTTGAATTATGACCTTTTAAAAATGCTCTACATTTTTGTAATTTTTATGTCAGTCTTTTGTAAGCTATTTTGTTCATAGCTTGCTTGTATAATAACAGCTTATTCAAGATGGCTGAGAATGACTGTTTCTTTATATTAGGAGAGAGAAGAGACGTCCTGGAGTCTCAACCATTGTATTGAAATGCAAAGAATAAGTGTGGCTATGAACAATGAAGGAGCAAACCCAGTGGCTTTGGGTGAGAGGGAGAAAGAATCCCCTCTCTTCTGATCAGTTTTTCCATTGACTTTTCTGTGATATTAGGTTACTCACTAAGTGTCATGTATCATAACTCTAATTCTGAAATGCTGCAGTAGAAAGTGGATTCCCTTTGTGCGTAGGCATTGCCACTTCTGTTACAACCCCCCTTTTCACTGCAACTCTGTGTTTTAAAATACTTGATGCAAACTTTTTCCCTCTAAAAACATACAGATTTTAAAAATAATTAGAAATTAAATAGATTCAACAAAGCAACATTTTAACTTTTGGTGGAAAAATTAATAGGAACTAGGCAAAAGAAGAAATCAAACCAGCTGCTGACACAGCTGTTTCTTTTCTTGTATAATTCAGTTCAATATAAAGGTACCATATGCTGCTTAAAATGATGATAGGAAAGATGAAATAATTTAAGAGAATAACAAGAAAATACATGAATTGTCAGCATTCTGTCAGATTTAAAGAATGAAATAGACAGGTGTAGTATTGACATGTTTAACTTTGTGTTGTGTTAGCAGTTTTAGTGAGAACAACTTCTGACATGTGCTGAAGTGATGTGAGAACATTTCTGTGTTGCAGACATTGGAGAAGAAGCTGGGAGATCTGTAGGAGTCCAGCAGCCAGCTTTACTGAGAGACAGGAGCCTTGGTTCTGCCATGAAAGACTGCCCATATTGTGGAAAAACTTTCAGAACATCACATCACTTAAAGGTCCACTTGAGAATACATACAGGTGAGAGGAACATGAGAAGTGGAGCACCATTGACACATGCAGTGTGTGTGTTGGGGGGGAAACATGGTATTTGGCTAGGAGTCTCAACTCCCAGTGTAGATTTGGACTCAGTAGCTGGAGAAAGCCTTTTGAGAAAGATACTTGACAGTCTTAAATAAACACACAAGGAGCATGTTGTTGGATAAAGACCACTTTAGTAGACTCATCTTTTCCCAGCTGATGTTATTTCTGTCTCCTTCCTTGCTTCATCACTGTTTCCTTCAATTACCCTTGTCCTTCAATAGACATAAGCCTATTGGTTTCAGACTTAGTTGTACTAACTGCTTCAAAGGCCCTCCTTAGGACCTACTTAGGGATTCTGTATGTTTTGCTCAGACTTACTTTTTTTGTTCAATTTAACATGCTCGTTTTTAACCTCTCCCTGGTTCATATGAAAACTTCAGCTTCATGGATCAGCATTTTTGCATTAGAAGTCACCAGACTTACTACTTTACCATGCATTACTTTAATAACAGCATTTCTATCCTATTGAGACCCACTACTGGTCTGGGTTCTATCTTTATTTTGGTATGTCACTTGTCAGGTGGACTGCTCCGGATACTGGAATAATATACCACTCCCTTTAAATTATAATACTATTTTTGTTTAAGAACAAACACATATGCGCAGCCTAGAATTCTCATGGACACTCAGTGTATGTTTAAGAAGGCTTACACATTCCATAATTAAAATCTGACATATTATGTTTATATTCTCAGGTCCTATGGACATCACTAGAAAATTCGTGTATGACTCAAGGTCACAGTGATGCTGTTATATTCCAAGTCTTAGGTATTGTAGCAGGCTTTTGGAGAGTTTGAAAAGTTGGAGATTTAAGATTCTTCTCTTTGTAAAAGGATATAGTGGGCAGTGGAATTGAAGAAGCATTTTCTTTTCAAACCTTTCTTAAAGAATTTCAAAATATTTGCTGCCACTTTTTTAATCAATAGGCAAAACAAATTGCACAAAGAAATACTTTCTGGTGTTTCCTCCTCTGGTATCTCCTACTTAACAAACTTCACTGTTTGTTTTTACTTCACTGAAATAGCAGATAAGCAGTATTTTCTTCTCTTCCCAAAAGTACGACCACATCCCTCCTATATGCTTACACAGGTGTAACATTTTAATATTGGGTATGCAAATGTGAGGCCTGATTTTGAAAAAAGAAAATGAAGATTGAAAATTATTTAAAGGAAAAAATTTTGTTGAACAGATGGAACATATTATTTATTATATTTTTCTCTTTCTTTGGATTGTGGAGTGGAGTTGACTATGAAGATTTGATCTGAATTGAAAATTTGGCCCTTAATGTAGTTTATCTGTTTGGATTGCAAACAGTTTACGGCAAGGTTATTCTTTTCAGTGTGTTGGTCTTTGTAGACACAGTGAAACACAGTGAAACTCCTATTTGTGTGTTCTCTAATGTAGTAATAGTAAATAAATGGTTATTTTACTGGAAAATAATCTCGTAACTATGAGTTTTTAAATAATCTGACATTTTTTACTAATGGAGGACATAAAGGAAAATACTTTAAAATAACCTGTGGATACTTATCTCTCCTTTTTTTTTTTTATTGTATGGTGGTTATTTGGTTGTTGTTTTAAGGATGGCAGCGATTATGCATTTGATATCTGTGGCTTAGAACTAATGGATTGCAATGGAAATATTCCATAAAGGCTGCATATTAAAACTGACTAAACAAAATTAAAACAAGAAAAAAATAAGCCTTGTATAAAATAACAAAAAATTATGGAAACATCATACAGGCTGCTGAAACAACATTTGCAATATACTTAAAAGGCATTATAATTTTAAAATGGATAAAGATCAGTTTCTATTAAATTAAGAACAAAGTATTTGTAAATAATGACAAGAATATGTTTAAATGGAGCAATGTTTTACATATTAGAAATAATCATCATAAATATTATAAAAATGTAAATTGGCAAATTACTAGACTTATTAAATAAAAATTAAGTTGCTTTGCAGTAAATGGAAATGATGTAATAGATACCAGTTATTAAACAAATATAGGTTAGTTCATACTTATCAGGACAGAGTTTCCTGCTTTTTATGTCACACTCTATCTTTATTATATGCCTGGATCATATAACTGACTGATAAAAAACACTTTACTGTGTTTCTCCACTACATTAACTCAATTACTGTTCTTGTTCTCACAGCACCTGTTTGTTAGAGATGAGCTCAAGCAGTTCAGCAGAAGTCAGGTTCCTTCGAACATCTGTGTGTTTGGAGGCACACAAGTAGGTTGGTTTGGTATGCGTGCCAAGGCGAGACCCAAAGTCTGATCCAACCAGGAGGTGCTTCTGTGGCAATCGGCCCAAAAAAAGCTAGGGAAGCCTTTTAAACCTCCACAAGAGGAGGAAGCTATCCTCTGTTTTAGAAGCATTAGCTAGTAGCTTGGGTTGCTTTTTATTCCCTGGGATATTTTAGGATTGCTACCTTCCTGACAGCTGAATCTCAGTTTCCGTGTAGTTCACTACCCTATAATAAACTTCATGAGTGAAAAAATAGAGTTTTATTTAGCATGCTCAGTTGAGTCTCAGCATGCAATTGTAAAGGTTTCTTCTTAACTACCTGAACGCTATTCAGCCAGCAAGAGCTTTAAGGAGCGATAGTAAGATACGATGTCTGATTGTTTTTGTATGCCAAGAAGAAAACGGCATACTTATGTGAAATCAGAGTTTCTTCTCCTTCTTGCTCTAAAAATAGTTGAAGGAAGAGACTGCCTTTGCGTGACCCCAAGAGAAGAGGAAGGAATTGCAGTGCCTGAGTTTCTCGAGCCTGGTGGCTTACAGATGGGAGAGAAAGAATTCCCTATGGCTCTCTGACTTATGTTGACCAGTGACTAGAGATGGGCCACGTAGCCCTGCTCCTTCAAACTGCCTGTTTCAACTTGCACACGCTCTCTGTGCAAAGAGATGCAGCAGTGGGGGCAAAGTATGTGTATGCACCAGCTGAAATCAGGAAGAGATTCCGGTAAAGTGGTGGGACTATACCACCCCAGCTAAGAATTTGATCCCATTTCTAAAATTATAGTGATCAAGAACTTATGGAAACCATGAAGAAAAATAAATCTAAAAATTCTGCTTTTTTTTTTTTTTTTGCAGAGGCCGTCAAGAATAATAATTTGATATAGTTATAGTTTGATGTCATTCTGTCCTCCCTATACGCATAGATCCCTAAAATATTTTAGAGGGAAAAAGCAGATAAAGTACAAAAATTAGAAGTTAATGTTATTAATGAGATAGAGTATCTTTGGGTAGAGGGTTGAACTCTATGGTGGTTTTAGTTGCCTAGTTATCACTGCGCATGCGCATATTTCTCCTTTTCTGTACTACTTTTGTTCTCTGTTTCCAGCCTGCCAGGGAAGAACAGTGTAGTTCATAGTTTCCAGGACATAGGTTCCAGGACAGTCTCAGTGATGGCATTTGAAAAGGGTGGAGGGTTCAGTGATTATGAAGTCGGTCCAGGAAAAAAGAAAACTGGATTCCATTTTTAACTCATAGTAGACACATGAGTGGACTAGCCACTTTATGATTCAGCTTCCTGGTTATAAAACAATGATGATACGGCTGCGAAGTGTCCAAAGCTTCCTTTTTTTTTCCCCGGTGAAGCTAGCAATTTGGGGTTCCACCCTTCAAGGAGCTGAGCATCTTCTGTTTATTCGTGAGCATTCTCAATTCCCACTGAAAGCAATTTGATGCATGTGGTTTTCACTGTACGTTCCTAGGCCTCTGTACAGCACAGAAATAGTTAAGTGTAAAAAATTAAAATTTCTTATGCTCTGTCTTTGAAAAGCAAATATGATGCGAGGGCTAGTTTTCAGATTAGCTCTAGCACCTCATGTCAGCAGGCAGCAAGTACTGCAGATGTAGACCAGCATGGATTTGTGTGGTCACTAGGTGCTGAGGCATATTCCCAGTATGGCTGGCACAGTCAAATCCCTTGAGTGATGAAAGCAGAGTAATGTACATGAGCAAATTATAGCCCTAAAGAGGGTTTGGGTTGTGCTAAACCAAAGGAACCTGAGACAGAGAGGGATAGGGAGAAAGGGCTTGGCAGGGCTGGGTCAGTAGACTGTGAGTCTGTATACGGTATGTGCTATGTTACATGCGTTAGATGCATTAGATGCATCTTACGGTGTTACTGCATTTTCCCTAGGAAATGTGACTGGCCAATTTTAAAACTTGCTTAGACGAACTGATGAAATACAGTAAAAATGGTGCTATTTTAAATGATTTCAATTCACATTTTCTTCCTAAAAAAAGACTGCCTGTTGCCATTCTCTGAAGGCGCTTGTAGTGGGATGAGCAATATGAATAATTAAGGAAAATGGGTATGTGTGCTCCAAGAGGAGACAATTTTGGTATTGAACATCCTTTATTCTTACATTTCTGAGATGAACTAAAAGGACTTTTCATTTCTCTAGATTTCTCCAGATTTCCCATCCTTAACATTGTACAGCATGCCTTTTCTGCTGTCTTAATGACATCCCAAACTTTTGTTGAAAATAATTGATTGAATTTAAATTTCCTTAAAAGTTTAAGAGGTAATGTTACAGTATAAATTTCCTACCAAACACTAAGTAGGGAAATATCCATTAGTGAAATTAACTACAGTTTCTAGGTAGCTAACAATGTGCAGTATACAGTAGGGCATGGCTAATGAACACTGCAGTGGGTGATATTTCATTATACAAATTAATGCTCACATTTTAATGGGAAAGTCACATAATGAATCTCAGCTTCAGTGACAGCAATTAGAGACACAGATTGTCCCCTTCTGGACAAGGCACTGTTTAGCAATAAGCAGCTGTGTAAAAAGTCTTCAGGTTTACAACATATATATATGCTTTGGGGGAATTAGTGTACAGTTTATATTAATGTACTGAGTCTTCCCTGCAAAGGAACAACCATATTTATCTCTCCGTGTTTTA